AAGTCACTCGTGACTACGCATCCGCACCGCGCTGCTGCTGCTGCTGCCATCCAAGCTTGGCCTTTTGCGTACGACGACGCTCACGCTCACGCACACTCACCCCTCGCTCTCGTGGGCTCTCGCGCGCTCACTCACCCCTCGCTCTCTCTCGCCCGCTCGCATCGCGCGCACCTCTGCGATCCCGCAAAGAATCGTCTCGAGCCCACTAGGTGTACCCAATAAATGAGCTGTCTGCCAAACATTTGGAGCAAACCATTGAGCACGCTTTGGCCCACCGCCACAAAAGGCAACTCCGACGACGACGAACAGAGGACATGCACCATACCATCACACAGACGGTATGGCAGTTTCCCCTTTTGAATGAAACGATTCCGGCAAGAGCCGCGGGCGCACGAGCGCACGCGGCTCCACAGCAGTACTCGATTGCTCCGTTCAGCAGACAACCACCCGTGGCAAAATCGACGTTTTCCCGTTGCGATTGCAAAGCTTCTGCGCGGTGCGAGAGAGCGAGAGAGAGAGAGCGCGAGAGCGAGAGAGAGAGCGAGAGGGCGAGCAAGAGTGAGAGCGCTCGACGCGATGGCTTGCTCGCTCGCCCCAAGGGATGCGCAAGCCGCTCGCTCGCTCGCTCGCTCGATGGTTCACGTTTGCGCGCGCGGCTCACTTGGTTCGACGGTTGGTAGCGCGTACTGCTCAGACAGATCCGTGAGGTCGCTTTCTCCAGAATTGCTCTCGTTGTCGTAGTCGAGTGTGGACGCCTCTTCTTTGCGGCGCTTGCCTTTGCGCTTGGGCACGTGTTTGCGCTTCACAGGTGGACAATCAGCATGTTGAAGGGCGAGCAAGATTGTTGTAACCTGCGGCAAGTGTGGCCGTTGTAGGGCCTCGTCGATGCGAGCTTTGAGTGAGGCGTCCATCGCGGCGGGCATCGCAAGTCGCGAGAGGTGGATGGGAGAGTTGCGAGCGTGGATATGAGAGTTGCGTGGAAGCGTCGTGATTGCCCCTCGTGGTGCGATGTGACTAACCTCTTGAAGGATCACTGCCATCGCCGTCGATCTGGCACTGCTGACGTGCCCGCCGTCGATCTCGCACTGCTGACGTGCCCGCCGTCGATCCGGCACTGCTGACATGCCCGCCGTCGATGTGGCACTGCTGGCGTGCACGACTGCTCTGTCCATTTGCCCAGTCACCCCTCTTTCGTGTCCGACCGCATCCCCGCGCATGAGGTCTGCATCATTGCGACGACTGACGGCGCGGCCAAGCGGAGCGCTCATTCTGAGGATGACATTTAGCGCAGCACCGTGCATGAGGTTTGCATCGCCGCACGTACACCGTACACCGCGCCGCATGTACACCCCGCCGCCTGGATCGATATCGACGACAAGAGCGCCATTGCGACGGAAGCGAGCCTGGGGTCACCCTGCTGCTGCTGCGCTAAATATCATCTCAGAATGAGCGCTCCGCTTGCCCTAAGCGCATGACCGATCTTCGTGCATCCTCGCTCCCGTCCAGCGCTTGCTTCTGAACGGGATTTTTTTGACTTGCGATTGGGGGAGCGCGTGCGCGGCACGGCACGGCATGTATGCGCTTCGGTGGCTCGTCGCTGGACCCCCCTCTCGCGCGTCACGTCGACCGGCTTCGAGGAAGGAGAACAAGCCCGCCCACATTGCTCTTGAAGGCGAGCGCGGAGGACAAGTGGATGCCGTCAGACATGTCGTCGAGCGACGAAACGGGCGAGAGAAAAGCAGGCTCCGCGCGCGACACGAAACATCCACCCCGAGGACACGTACAGGGAGCGAGGTATGCGCATCGTCGAAATCGTAGAGGAGATGCCTGATTGCACGTCGTCAAGCGAGCGAGCCAGCGCGCGTTGCGATCCTCTCGGTGGCTGTACCACGAGCGCATCGCTCGCTTTGCTGATTGTTGGTTGCATACATGCGCCCGCAATGACTGGCTACTTTTGCAGCGTTCCCTCGGCTAGAGTGGAGGTTGGGCGCATCATCGGTCGCATTGGGCAGCCCGTCCGCCCGTCCGCATGTCGCACCCTGGCGATCGCTCCTCGTCGATGGCACTCTCGCATCGCTCGTCGAGACGCCCATCCTCGCATCGCCCGTTCTCGGCCCTTACCTCGTCGAGACCAATGGGTTGCCCGCCTGTCCGTCCGCCCGCTCATTCGCGCAACCGCCCGTCCGTCATCTCATCGCTCGTCGGCAGTTGATGATCCGACCACAACCTTTCGCATCGCCCGTCCTGGGTCGCGTTGCTGACCCCGTGGAGACGGATGAGTCGCATCCGCGAGCCCGTCGGTCGCCTCCCCTCACCTCGTCGGCTCGTCGATCGCACGCTCGGCCCGCCGTTGATCGAAGGCGTCCGGCACCTTGTCGAGACCCGTGAGTTGCATCGCTCGGTCGCAGCCCTCCCATCGGTCGCATCTCTGATCTCGAGAGGGACAGATCTACCGGCCGTAATTTCATGGCTCGACGACTCGAATCTCATGGCTCGCCGACTCGCGTCCGTCGTCGGTCGCATTCCCTCACCTCGTCGAGGCAGAGGATCCGCCACCGCATTGCTCCACCTTGTGGAGACGAGTGGGTCACTCGCACGCTCGCACACAACGCAGGATCGACAGGATTTGGCAAGGATTCCAATTTCGAGTGCGCTGCATTTCGGGATGGCGATCGCACTCGCACGTCGATGGCTGTATGCTACGGCGAATGGCGGGGCAGGTGAGCAGAACCACACGCCAACACAGGTCGTGCGGCATGAAGAGACTCACCTATGCCGGAAGTCGTACGCTCGTATCGCCCGCTTCTCCTTCTCGCTCTCGGTCGCCCGCTTCTCCTTCTCGCCGCCACTCTTGCCCGCTCGCCCGCCCGGTCACCTCTTTGTTTGCCGCCCGGTTCTCTTTGCCCGCTTCTCCTTCTCGCTCACCTTTGATACTGCCCCCTTCACGCTGCTCCGGTACCTGGTCACAAATGTCATGCGGGCGGGATGCGCAACGTCAAGCGTGCGTGCGTATCGCGCGTCACGATCATTCACGATTGAAAGTTCTGATGTGGTTCAACATGACGGGTGTGAGCTCAAATCCCGATGGTGCATGGGTTTCGTTATGATGTCGCACTAGGCGAGCGCACGCACACGCCCACGCCCACGCCCACGCCACCCGCCGCCTACTTGACGGCAATGCCGACGTACAAGTCGCTAGAAAATCCAATCTCGAGATAGAAGCGCTTAATGTCCTCGGCTTTTTGATCAAAGATGGCCTCGCTCGTTACGCCGGCGACGGGCGCCTTGTCTGCAAAGAATAGAATCGGTCCCTTGAGAGCTTTGAATGCAAAAGTCGTATTCGCGACAGACTTGAGCATCACCTCTTCGCTCAAGCCCATCTCTTGCGCAACGCGACCCCACGGCCAAGGCGAGGTTTGCACATCGACGCTCGAAAAGCCTGCGGTGCAGAGATGCGCTTGCATGTCCCTACAAATGCCAGGAGGATCCTTGTTGGCGCGCGACCACAAGCCGTCGAACATGTCCTTGATAAAGTGCTCCGTCTCGTTGCGCGGTGCGGGGGGTCGCGGGTCCAGCTCGACGACTTGAAGCGTGCCACCGGGCTTCAAGAGGGCGTAGAGATTTCGTATAGCAGTGGCGTACTGCTCCGAATTCATCGCCATGATGACGTATCGCATCTGAACCAAGTCGTACTTGCCGTGCTGCTCTTGCGGAAAGGGCTGAAGCACATCGTGCACGCTGAAATCGATGGGCGTATCCTTGGCCGTCACCTTGTCCAGCACAATGTCGCTGCCTTCCAGCTGCACGTTTGCCGGAAGTCGCTTGCCACCCTGACCGTCTCTAGCCAATCTCTCTAACCACACGCCTGTGCCCGTGGCCGTGTCGAGCACGCGATGAGCTCGACTGACATCGTACTCGGTCGAGTGGACGTATTCGCGTCCAGGAAATAGAGCGTTGAAGAGTTCCTGCTGAAAGTTCAGACTGGCGTGCGGCGAGGCAGGGCGAGCGCGCGGAGCGAGAAGCGGGGCGAGAGGTCAGCGCGCGAGCAGAGCGAGCAATCGAAACGCGCGAGCGAGAAGCGGAGCGCTGAGGAAGCATTGGCGATCGCGGAGCATTTGAGTCTGCTGTTCGGCTTTCGCGCAAAGCATACGCCTTGGTCTGATGTTGAGGTCTCCAGACGGCTCCTATCATGACAAACGTATGGTGAGGATGATTCTCATCCGCCACCATTCCAAATCAAGCGCTCGTCCATCACACGCACGCACGCACGCACGCCCAAACTCACCGCTCCGATTCGCTGGTAGCGTGACCGAACAAGTAGGTCAATTGGTCCTCTCGAGAGGCAGACATTGCGATTTGGGTGTGCGAGGAGCGTTGAGAGGGGCGTTGAGAGGAGCGTTGAGAGGGGCGTGCTGACGGGACAAGGCGAGATGATGGATGGATGAATGGATGAACGAATGAATGAATGAATGACAGCATCGCGGCGCTCGCAACGCGAGTCCACAAGTCGGCATCATGCAGACCTCCACGCGGTCACGCCTTCGACGTTGTGAGCGTCCGCGTCCGCGTCCGTGCGCGCGCGTCTAGCGTCCGCCTTTGAGCGGATCGATAGGCGCCCGCTTGTCCCGCAGTCCGCCACCACACATCGGGCGGCGCAGCAAAGCACCTCGATCGCGTATCATTGCTTGCTCACCGTGCATATGCGTGCATGCATGCATGCATGCATGCATGCACGCATGCGCCTACCACGACGTCCGCACGTCAGCGCACCATCGCGATTTACAAATTGTTCCGATTTGCTCTCACGTCAGCGCACCGTCGCCCCGCGCTCGCGACTCCAAAAGACGACCGCGTGGTCCTTGCATGACGCATAACGCACAACCGCGAGTCAGAGTGATGATGCATGCTGCGCGCAAGCAGGGCAGTCGGGCTACTCTCCGCGAGTGCGAGCCTCGCCTCGCCCCCCGACCCTCGTGAAAATTCGGTGCGCCTGCTCGTTGCGCCTGCACCACCTTTCTGTTTCGCATTAGCGGCCAGCGCCCACCCCTCCGCTGCTGCCATGCCTCTTGCTTGTGAGACACTTTGCATCCGCAAAGCTTCCCGCCTCGACGCGACGAATACCAGTCCTCGGATGCACGGGCACGACATCGTCCCCCGGAGAGTCGTGGGTGTAATCTCTGCTTTGCGTCGCTTGCAAACCGTGCCATCCGTCTCCCACTTTTCACTCTCCCACTTTTCACTCTCCCACACCACGCTTGATCGCTCCGTGCGCAACCACAATCGTGAATCTCGACGTGAATCTCGACGTAAATCCCTCGACAAGATGCCGCCGCCGCCCACGCTTCCTCCTCCCATCGAATCCGTCGTAGTGTCCATTCGACAACTCTCCTTTGTTGCCCTCGTATTTCTGGGCATCTTTTGGTGGGAGCTGCTCATCTTTCTTCCCTCCGACTACCGCATCCTGAGGCACATTTTTGGCGGAGCACGAAAGCGTGCAAAGGTTCCCCTCACCGCCTACCTCGTTCTCGGCATGCGTTGGCTGACCTTTGGTGTCACCATACCCGCCGCCGATTTCTTCTTTGGCTCCGAGGGAAACTGCGATGCGATGCAAAGAGCCATGTACGCGCTCTACGCCGTCGTCACCGTCTGCGTAGCGACCCTGTTTGGCCTGCGATGTTGGATCATTTGGCAAAAGAGCAACGTCGTAGCCGCCATTCTGATCCTCGTTGGCGGCGCTACGGTGGCAGCATGGGCATGGACCGCCACCCTCTACCGTGGCCAGCCGAACCCGCTTGCTCAAGTCAGCGGTGTGCGCTGTGCTCTCATGAGCGACGGTGAGTGCGTTGCGAGTCGCGCGTTGCGAGTTGCGTGCCGCGTTGCTGACGATCCTGCACACGCAGCTGGACGTAAACGTGCCATCGCTTTTGGCCTCGAGACGCTCTACGACTGCATCGTCTTTTCCTTGACGCTGTGGGCCCTCGTTCAGAGGAGAGTGTTGAGCACCTCTGCGACAAAAGGCTCGTCGGCCTACAGGGTGCGCAAAAGTCTGCTCCGATCCAGCGCAGCGTATTTTGGCATCAGTTTTTTGCTGGTGAGTGGGCGTCGAGCGTGTAGTTCTTTCAAACGTTCAGTCATACCTCCCGCCCCCCCCCCCTCGAATACAGAACCTCGCATGCATG